AAAATACTCTTTGACGTTGCTGTCGAGCTTGCAAATTTATTAAATTCATCTTCAAGATGTCTATTTATAAAAAATCGTAACAACTTTGGTAAATTTAAAAGTACCAAACCAAATCAAGGTACGAAACTTCAATGCACCCAACATGGGCAGACATATAATAAAAACAAATGAAAAAACCTCCGACCCTTCAAAAAATCTCAATAAATGAGGTGTTTTAATTGTTTTTGTTTTAGAATATTTTGTAACTACTTATAATAAATTATGTGTTTTATAATAATCTGCAATGAATTGTGTAGAAAATTCTGGTCATATAATGAATCTCACGACGAATCAGTTTTGTTTCGATTTTTTATAAATAGACGTCTTGAAGATGAATTAAATAAAATCAAAATCTCGACAGCAATGTCAAAGATGTTTTATTTCATATGTATAGTAATTGCCATGTCCGCCTAGTGATACTATATGTTTCACAAGTTGGAACCATATGGAAAACTTTTTTATTGTTAATATGGTTCCAATATATTCGTTCCTAGTTAATTTATAGTACTAATTAGTTCCTATAATTATATTATGTATATTACATAATTTGCACTTATAGTTGTGCAGAAGTGCAAATCACTTCTGCCTGCACTTTTTATCATAATAGACTGTTTAATATAATTTAAAACACTATAAACTGCAATTGAAATATGTATATTCTAATTTTGCTAATATTTACTCACCTTCTTTATTAACAGCTTCCTTCCCGGAACCGCGAACAAAAACTTTATAGCAACGACACCATCTCCATTGTAAACCTATTCTTTTCAGAGTAAAACAGGACAATGAGACTGTCAATTTATAACACTAAAGAACATGTTAAGGTAGTTAATTGGGTGGCAAAAAGATTCGTACATTTAATATAGGGCTATATATTACAAATACTTTTTATTTTTTAACCTTCGAGACGACGCAACTTAGTTAATTCTCCGTTGTTTTTTTTTGGCTAATTTTCTTTTTGGCCTTATGAGTAGTAATTTCCTCACTTAAGCTATTTAGCTCGTGTATGGAACAAAGTATAAAATTCTGTCTTTTTTAACTCGATAACTCATGTTTAAAAGAATTCAATTTTTTTTATGACTTACGCCCTATAAGGAAACAATATTTACGTAAATAAAACTAAATTAAATTAGTACAAAGAAATATCGATATAAAAATGTGGTACCATAGATGGTACTATAGACTAGCACGAAATTTCATACTAAATTTTCTGTATTTTTAAAATTGAGTAAATTTTAATTAAATTGAAAAAAGCTTACATGATGTACAACGGACTTTCCCTATCATGTAAATGGACTCTTCCAACTATTCGCTATGACTGCTTTTTCGTAAACGGTCATATTTCATCATCATCATTCAATCTTCGTTTATCCACTGCTAGATATAGATCTCCCTCATAATTTTCCATCTATTTCGACTATGTGCCTCTTGCATCCAATTCCTATGACAACATTTTAGATCGTCAGTCCAACGTGCTGGTGGACGACCTCTGCTTTGGTAGGCATTATCTCTTGGTCTTTATTCCAGTATCCACTTTGTCCATCTATTATCTGTCATTCGAGCCACGTGACCTACCCAGTTCCATTTCAGTATTTCTACTCTCTCTACTGCATCAGCCACTCCTGTTCTTTGTCGTAGCTGGCGATTTGGTATCTTGTCTCGTAGTAAAACGCCCACATTTATTTTAAGGCATATTGCTATATCAGACGATTTATAAATATGGTTCAGCTTGCCGAAGGCTGTCCAAGTCAGTCTTATACGACGGAGAAGCTCAACGGTTTGGTTATCTTTTCCTATGCTGATCTCATAACCTAAGTATTTATAGGCCATTACCTGGTCTATGAATCTTGTTCCTACGCATATATCTTCGCTGACTACAAAATTTGTCATTATCTGGGTTTTAGATATATTTATTTTCAATCCCCCTTCTAGCGAGGAAAGGTAGAGCTGATTTAAAAGTTCTTTGGCCTCATCTATCCTATCAGCTATTAGTACAATATCAACTGCAAACCTAAGATGGCTAAGCTTTTCCGCGTTTATGTTTATGCCCTTGTCGGTCAGTTTTGCCCTTTTACATATATATTCCAAAAGCGTAGTGAACAATTTCGACGATATGGTGTCCCCCTGGCGTACTCCACGTTGTATCGGGAATTTCTGGCTGTTGCGTTTTGGTATATATGTTTAATTATATTTATATACCGATAGTCAATTCGACATTCTGTCAAGGCTTCCAACATTTTTTTGTTGATTTATGGCGTCGAATGTCTTTTCATAGTCGACAAATATTAAAGCCAGTGGTTTATTATATTCAGTGCATTTTTCTATAAAATTTTTAATTACCAGTAGGTGATCGTTTGTTCCATAGCCTTTTCTAAAACCCGCCCGTTCTATGGGCTGATAAAATTCCAATTTATTTTCTAGTCGTTTCGTAATTATTTTTGTAGATAGTTTATAAATATGTGGAAGTAGACTTATGGGCCTATAATTCCTGAGGTCGGTAGCATCCCCTTTTTTAGGAAGTATGATAATTTCTACGTTATACCACTGGGTTGGTTCCTGCAAACATCCATGATCATGGTCCATGCCAATAGTTTGGCAAGGACCTGCCATAATCTTGTTCCAGCCACTTTCAAGGCATCTGCCACTATTTCATCGTCTCCGGTGGACTTTTTTTTTGTTTTTCATTTCTTGCACTGACCTTCAAACTTCATTGGGTGATACGTCCGGTAAAATTTCAGATCCCTGATTGATTATCTTTGGTAATGATCCACTCTGGTTACATTGCCGTTCTTTGTATAGTTTTCTATAAAAACTCTGTATCGTGTTCATAATTTGAACTCTATCCTCAATAATTTGCCCCTGTTCATTTCTTAATTTGTGGACGTTTTTTCTTCCAAGAGACATGCTCCCTTGTAAGTACGTAAGACAAGTACTTTCAAGCTTTTGTTTTCTTCTATTACTCGATTTATATTCATCGTATTGTATCGTCTCAGATCTTTTCTGACTTCCTTTTTAATTTTCTTATTCAAAATTCTAAGTTTATTTTGGTTATGATCCTGATTTTCCCTAAGTTTTCTTCTTTCCTCTAGAAGATGTTTTGTGTTGTGGCTTAATTTTTTGTTATTGTTTTCAGGACGAGGACAGTATTTATTTTCAGCTTCTTTTAATATTTGAGTAATATTATTGTTCATTTCATTCACTGTTGTTCATTCATTGTTCACTCAGAAGTTTTTACTAAAAACTTCTGAGATTAGAATGCGAATAGAATAATTCTGCGTTTTAGAATTTTAAACAAAGCGCACAAGCTAAATGTTTATATTCATAGCCAAATCATTTATTCAGGAAAAAGAAAGGCGCATCAATCAGAAAAGGTTTTGACCTAAGAGCGACAATGAACAACGTGCTACAAGAAGACCAAAACTTTGTGGTGTCAAGACAACTTTTATCTTTATTTCGTTGTTGAACCATAGCTTTGATATTGATATTGTGGTACGATTAATTTTCCTAACTAATTTAATTTTTATGCAGCTTATATTAAGTTTGCACATATTGTCTGATTATGGTTTCCTTAACCTTCCAGTTGGTGGCCTTTAAGTAAGTGCTTGTATTAAGTATTCTGCTTGTTGGCTTGCCCTACCTCATGGTTTCGTAGGAGGTGTTGTCAAATGTTAATTCTATATCAAGAAATGCACCCTGCACCACCTCTTGGTTTTGTATAACGTAGTCCACTCTATGTATAGGATGATGCAGTGTCTCTTTTTCATTTGGTGTGTCATGAGACCCTGAAGCTTTTTTGTTATTAATGTTCTAATATTTCTGATTTCTAATCTAAATTTCCTTGATTTTTCCTTTGTAATTTCTATGGTATAACTATTATCACTGTCTTCTTCTTCTGCTTCTCTATGTTTAATTAATACTGCCTGTGTTGTACAGATATCTGATATACGATATCCATTGCATAGTTTCCATTTTTATTATTATGCTACTAATTAATGGGTATTTCTCTACCTTTAAGAATTTTCTTTTTATTACTAGTGAGTGTAATTGGTTGTATTACTACAGTCCTTTATTGGTAGCAAGTTTGGTGTGGGAAGTTAGTTTTCATTCGTTATTGAACAGTGCTAAATACATTTTAGCTTACATTTTATATGAAGGGTATTACATTCTTGCGTCTGTCATTTCTTTATATTTCTTATGCGGATTGGGTAACCAACAATTGGAAATTTTGTTTATCGTATGACACTTGACACGTTTACATTTAAAATTACATGTATTTTATATAAAACATAATACCTATGTTTACAAACGAACATCTAACTTATTTATATACTCTATCGACTCTGGAGTCGCCATTAGGAAATTATCTGACCTATCTTGATAGGATCTTTTGGGACACTGTTCTGTAATGTGACAGATGAATTGAGGTTGTCCGCAGTCACACAGTGAGGATGGTCGTTTACCCCATTTGTGCATTATGTAGCCGCATCTATCGTGTTGGGTTCTGATTCGGTTCAGCATAGTCCATGTTTTGCGTAGTAAATCAACACCTGGTGGTGTTAAGAGACCAACTGGGAATGTATTCATTTCGATTGCCTTTTGGTATATGCTTTTTAGCCGTGCTTATTACGGCTTCAATAGGAATAGATGTGATTATAGGAATTTATGTTTCTGTCTCTATTGCACTGGGCGGTGTTGGCTATGTGGAAAGTCGTTCATTACTTTTCGACAGACTGCTAGAGGTTGCCCGTTTTAATTAGTAGAGACAAAACATAGACCAGGATTGTATTTATTCTTCCATGCTGCTGAAATGAATGTAGGTCGGTCTTTAGCATCATACTTAAGTGATAGATGTTCCTCCTCCGCCCATTTTACTAGCGCATTCCCATTGAAGAATGCACTAGTAAAATAGCAGTTGGGAAATGTGCTAGGGACTAGACAAGCAAAATAAAACAAAATCAAGTGAAAATAATATTTTATTGTTTCAACATTTATATAAGATAAATAATGATACATATTTAGTTTAAAAATACTGTTGCTGGAATATTATCAATTCATAACATCATAAAGTCAATAATCCAGAACTCTTTAGCATATTGTAAAATATGCTACCTTCGTCTTGTGCCAAAATACTAACGGCGCCATTTTCAATAATTTCTCCATTTTGTACCACTAGGACTCTATCACAATTAAGAATAGTTTTTAGACTATGGGCCACCACTATAACTGTACAAAATTCGTCCAAAATTTGTTTCTCCAAAACGTTGTTGAATAAAGACTCAGATTTCTGATCCATCTCTGAAGTTGCTTCATCTAGAATAATGATTCTGTTTTGATGCAACAAACATCGTGCAAGACAGATTAGTTGCCTTTGTCCAGCGCTTAAATTTTTTCCTCCTTCAGATATTTCAAAATCCAGAGAATCTATTACTGTTGATAACTCAAGTTTATGGATAACCTTCCAAATGTCTTCGTCTGAGTACAAATCCAAACCTTTAGGTGCGACGTTGCTTTTTATTGTTCCAGAAAAAAGCACAGGATCTTGAGAAATTATGGATATTTTTGAACGAAGTAATGTAAGTGGAAGACTTTGTATATCTTTGTTGCCAATGGTGATTTTTCCTTCGTAATCATAAAGCCGAAGTAATAAAGTTATCAATGAAGACTTTCCTGAACCTAAAAAATGTATATAGGTATATTGTTAACAAGAATAAATTATAAAAATTAAAACATGTGAATTAAACCCACAACTAGAGAAGAGTACAAAGGTGCACTATTAGTAATATCACAGCTCATCAAATTCACATAACTTGTAACGCTAGTAAACACCAAAAACACTACAAGCAATGAAGTAAAAAGATTTTGCTAATATAGTTCTGGTTGCTATTGCATAGCAACAGAAAATAGAACTCTTCATAGTCTTAAAAGGCATTTGAAAAATAAAAACCTAAAACGTGCAGTAAAACATTTACAGGAGCTTAATAAGACGGGTTGTAATATATGAAGACATGAAACATGGACTTAATTCCAAAACCGTGAGAGATTTTAAGAGAAAAATACTTTTAAATATTTTTGAGCCGTAAATGAAAATGGGGTATGACGTCGAAGATATAACTTTGAATTATACCAGCTATACACAGATCCAGATATTATAAAATGGTATACGACATTTATTAAATTTCAGAGGCTAAGATGAGCTGGACGCATTCCAAAGCCAAAGGACATAAGAAGAAGAGGACGACGGCGTAGAACATTGATTGATGATTTAGAAGAAAATAAGTAAGATTATTAGGGTCAGAAGATGGAGGGAAGCTGCTAGGAATCGACGGAAAGGAGTGGTAACTTCTCTGCTGCAGTTCAAAATCCACAAAGGATTGTCGAGCCAATTATGATGATTATATATTCAAATACCATTTAGACTATGATACATGTTAACTTTATGTTAAGATTCCAGGGGTTTCCTGACCCGGGAAACTAGCACCTGTTTAGGGTCCCTTGTCCAGGGTTGCGGATGAAGACCACAACGGCAGATCACGGCGGTGAAGCAAATCTTCGGTACGGTGTGGTTGGCGGAAGTGGCAATCCCGTGATTTTAGGGCTGGTATAAAATCAAGCAGCGTCTGATTCAGAATGGACCGCTGCAAACAGCGTCTGACTCCAGGTTAGGGGCGGCTGAAATCTAAACTCGCCAACCCGCTCGGCAAGCGTGGCGTTTTAACTGCCATTTTCCCTTCAATATATTCATGCATAAATCGAGATTCAAAAATATAGTACCCCAGGTGGGTAGAGTTTATATCTCAGAATCCCACTCCACTATGGACTGCCTCACGGATTCTGGGGGAGGCAGAAGATCGAAAATACATGACAAAAATAAACAAATTAATTCTCAAAATTTTAAAATTGCTACATACAACATTAGAACCATGAGAACGAACGACGATCTAGAGGAATTAGAGCAGGAACTAAGGGCTATTAAATGGGATATTGTAAGCTTATGTGAAACGAGACTTCAAGGAGAGAAAAAGACCACCCTAACATCAGGGCACACTCTATACCAATATAATTCAGAGGAGAACCACGGCCAAGGAGGAGTGGCTTTCATTGTCAACCGAAGAATAGAACACCAGATTGTGAAATACTCAGCGGTGTCGGAAAGAGTGATATATCTTGTAATACAACTGAATAAACGATATAGCTTACAGGTAATACACTGCTATGCTCCAACTTCCACTGCAGATGACGAGTCAATTGTTCAACTCTACGAAGATATAACGCGAGCTAAAGACCTAGAAAAAACACACTATGTTATCATCACCGGAGATTTTAATGCAAAAATAGGGCGGCGAATACCAGGTGACTCAGACTACATAGGAAGTTTCGGTCTAGGCAACAGAAACACCAGAGGAGAGACATTAGCAAATTACGTAAGCACCGAAAAAATGTTTTGCCTGAACACGTTCTATAAAAAACAAATACAAAGAAAGTGGACATGGCGTAGCCCTGACGGTCAGGTTAAGAATGAAATAGATTTTATCCTTTCCAGTGATAGATCAATATGTAAAAACATCGACGTATTGAACAAATGTAACACCGGTAGTGACCATAGACTAGTTCGTGCTGATATACGTATTAACGTAAAGAGAGAAAGACGAAAACTATTAACAACAAACCCTTTACCGACGGCAGATATCCTAGCCAGTAATAAAGAGATATACCAAAAGGAATTAGCCCGAAAACTAGTAGCAAATACCTTTGAGCACAAGAATATAGATGAACTAGCTGAGAAAATAACTAAAGACATACAAACAGTCACTAAGAAACTTTGTTGCAGAATAAGAAAACAAAAGGAAGCTAAACTAAAACCCGAAACTCTAGAACAGATAGAGAAAAGAAGAAGAACGAACAGAAATAACCCGGACTATAAAGCGCTCAACAGAAGCGTTAAGAAAAATATTCGAAAAGACCTCAGAGTTTATAGAACAAACCAGATTCTTGAAACCATAGAAAACAATAAGAACATGAAAGTACTAAAAACATGTAAATCCACTGGCAGGAATAAAATCATAAAGATAAAAAACGACCGTGGAACATTGTGCTCGCATAAGGAAGACATCGTTAGAGAAATCCGAAAATTTTAGGAGAAGCTGTATACTTCTACTATTCTGAACCCCGGTATACCAACAAAACATATCTTAAATGTGGGCTCAGAGGACTTCCCTGAAATACTAACATCAGAAATTAGAGCCGCCCTAAAACAAATAAAAAATGGGAAAACACCAGGAGAAGATAAAATTACTTCAGAGATGCTAAAAATGGGAGGCACTGCATTAGAAGAGGCAATAAGAGCATTACTTAATAAATGCCTATTGGAAGGACAAATACCGAAGACATGGAAAAATGCGGAAGTCATTCTACTCCATAAAAAAGGGGACGGCGCAAATATAGAAAACTACCGACCCATAAGCTTATTGTCACACCTTTACAAACTACTAATCCGAATAATAACAAATAGATTGACAGCTAAACTAGATGCATACCAACCAGTGGAGCAAGCAGGCTTTCGTAAGGGTTTTAGCACTATCGATCACTTGCAAAGAATTCGGACCATTATTGAAAAAACAATAGAGTACAACATACCACTACATCTGGCATTTGTCGATTATCACAAAGCATTCGACAGTATCGAGAAATGGGCTTTCTTAACAGCATTGGACGACGCCAGAGTAGATTCAAGATATGCTGCCCTCCTTAAGAATATATACGATGATGCTATTTTTCACGTAAAAATAGATGATGATCTGGAAACTATGAAAATAGACCTTGGCAAAGGTGTGGGACAGGGAGACACCATCTTACCCAAGTTATTTACTTTGGCATTAGAAAATGTTTTCAAACAACTAAATTGGGCCGAAAATGGATTAAAAATAGATGAAGAATATCTTAACCATTTGCGTTTTGCAGACGACATAGTACTAATAAGCACAGATATCCATGAACTAAAATCAATGCTACAAGATTTAAATCACAAATCGAATCAAATAGGATTAAAAATGAATCTCGACAAAACAAAGATATTAAGCAACAGCCCAGAAAACATCACGATAGATAACATCAATATAGAAAAGGTAGAACAATATATATATATATATATATATATATATATATATATATATATATATATATATATATATATAGGACATGCAATTAAAAACGAAAAGGAAAATCAAACCCTAGAAATTAAAAAGGACACAATTATCATGGGCTGCTTTTGGTAAGTTGAGCTTCAAGACAGAAAAGTCACAATTCACTTGTGAACATCATGGGAAAAATAGCGACATTGAGATGGCAATAGGTAGCACATGTAGCAAGACCAGACACTAACAGATGGTCTCATAAAGTGACATTCTGGAGACCTCGAGAAACAAAAAGAAGCGTGGGAAGACCTAAAAAGAGATGGATAGACGATATAACTGCTATAGCTGGAAAGCAGTGGATGAGAATTGCAAAAGATAGTCTATAGGTACATTTAAGATGAACGCTGGTTTTCGGAGTCAGACATTCGGCGCCGATCCTCGCCTGGTCGAAAATCCTTCGTATTTAAGATGATCTGGTCAAAATGTACCCGAGCGCTGACAACCTTCTTCTTAGAGTGCCTATCCGTTCCGAACGTTGGCGATCATTCTAACTATGATGACTTTGTTGGTTGCTACACGAAATAGCTGTATTGAGGTTTTTCTATACAATGCTCTCAAGTTAGTAAACCAGGATATACTTCTTCATCCTGGGGCCCTTTTTCTTTAATTTTACCTTGTAAAATGCATTGCTAGGGTGAGGTCATGGCTCTTGATGTCTCTGACTCTGTGACTTGCTCACAGAGTTTATATTTAAGAATGCTCTTTTTGCCTTTACGATGCGACATTTAATCTCTTGGGTATTGTCCCACGACTCATTGTTTATAGTTCCCAAGTAGTTGTACTGTGAGACACGTTCAATTCTCATTTGGTTCACATACAGATTTGCTCCAGTTATGTTTTCCTTGCTGATGATCATTAGCTTGGTTTTGCTGGTGTTTGTATCTAGTCCATATGTTCTATTTGTTCCCGTTATTTTGTTCATTAAGTTTCGCAGCCCTTCTATAGTATTGGAAAACACTATTGTATTATCTGCATACTGTATGTTATTGAGCTTGATTCCATTTATTGAAAAGCCTTCATTATTATCTTTTAGAGCCTCTTCAAAAATGTGCTCCGAGTACAGATTGAATATCAGTGGTGAAATTATGCACACCTGTCTCACTACCCTTAAGATTTTAACCTGATCTGTATATTCTCCATCTATGCGGAGCACCGCTGATTGATTTCAATACAGGTTAGCTATTATTTTTAAGTATCTTCCGTCAATCCCTGTCTTCTTCAGTACTTCCATCATTTGTTCATGCCTGACTCTCGAAAGCCTTCTTGTAGTCAATCAGGCATGCAAAAACACTACAATAACAATTATAAAATACCATATGCATCCTTACCTGTTCTTCCAACTATTCCAACTTTTTCTCCTTCATTAATTGTTAAATTAATGTTTTGCAGAACATACTGTTGATTCTTATCATAACGAAAATTTACATTTTTGTATTCGATTATATTGTTTGCGGCCCAGTCTTTAAGTATTCCCCTAATATC